CCCACATTCATAAACCCTCCAAAAGCTGTGAAACCCGACTATACCCAGGGACACCCCATATTCATAAACCCTGCAAAAGCCATGAATCCCGACTATAAACAGGGACACCCCATATTCATAAACCCTCCAAAAGCTATGAAACCCGACTATACCCAGGGTTACCCAGGCACTCCATATTCATAAACCCTCCAAAAGGTTGTGGTTTTGTTTTTTGGCCAAGGTCATGCTGAAGAATTTGCCTGACTGTTTCACGCGTGCCCGGCTTGTCTACCTCCTGTCCAAGGAGGGCCGCTTGACTTACCTTCGACATTGGAAAGATACGGCCGATTCCCCCAAATGGGTACGAGTCAACATAGTGGGATCCCAAACATTTGTTTGTTTAAGTTAAGGTGAAAAGGGTGCCATCAAGACACACACACACACAAACACACAAGTATTACACGTGCACAAACAATATGCAACCGTACCCTTTCAAAGCCCGGTACATCAAAGGGTTAACTTGACTTGGATTTCCGGCATGCGCGCCCGTTCCAAGGCTTTGCTGGAGCCTTCGACTTTCTATACGTTCCCCTGTGCTTTAAGGAGAAGCTCTCCCTGTGCTATGCCTTCATAAATTTCGTGAACATCGAGGCTGCAGAACGCTTCTGGAAGCGCTTCCACGGGTTTCAGGAATGGGGAGTGCCCTGTCGTCAAGTGGGGGAGGTGTGCTGGTGCGAGCGACACCAGGGCTTGAGCAGCATCATCCAGTACTACCGGAACAACTCCGTGATGCACCCCGACGTCCCCGACGAATGCAAGCCCATCCTTCTCATAGCTGACCAGAGGGCGCCATTTCCTCCGCCCACAAAGAAGATCAAGCTTCCCAAAAAGGCGAAGGCTGACGGCAATGAAGCTGCGCGTTCTGGTTGCTCATCTGGAGTGGCAAGAGGACTATTTGCATGCTGCAAGTCGTTCTGTCCGATTCAGCGATTGTGTCGTCACCACTATGCTGTGTTGCTCAAAAAACAAGCCGAGATGCTTGACACAATTTCAATTCTCTCAAAGCTACCCAAAAAGACTACACCCATATTCAGAGACGCAGCTGTAGTTCAAAATATGGTAAACCTTAGCTTCAAAGTATCCCGCAACCCCATCCCTGTGTTTTTTTCTTTTTTTGAAACTGTTGTGCAACATTTCGAGTCCTGTCACCAGCTACGCATGTTTCCGCATGGGCCAGGCTTGTTTTTTGCCAGCCCTAGGTTCCAATCAAATCCTCCACCAGAATTGCTAGGAACTGAAGATGTGCTATTGGGCCAGGGTATGCTTGTCGTCCTATCTTCTGAAGGCCTTTTGTCATCCTGCTTGCAAAAGTTGGGCGAGGAATTCGGCAGATCTGCCCCGACTCCGGTTTTTGTTTTGAGCTTCCAAAAGGAATTGGCTCCTTGTGTATTTGGAGTCTCGCATTCCAACAGTTTCCCAAAGTCTCCAAGTTGCCTGTATCCCAGTGAAGCAATACAAGTCTTTGGACTCTGGACAACATCTGCACCAGATACGGACACACTGGGTGTCTTTGTTTGAGGGCTGGTGGTTGGAGAGCCGCTGCGGAGCTGGGGAACCCGGAGTTTTGTAAGGACATGTTTGTCCAAAGGACATTAGGGGTCACCCGATTTTGACAGAGACCCATTCTTACAGTCCCAAAGAAACTTGCTTGCTCTCGGCAGGGAATGAGGGAATGCCCCCCTTTAAACCATCCCTTGGGGTTTCCTTTGAGGGAATCCCTGGCTTCCCCACATTCCGACCACCACCACCACGACGACCACCACGACCACCACGACCACGACCACGACCACGACCACGACAACAACCACGACAACAGCAGCAGCAACAACAACAGACACAACCAACAACCAACCAACCAATCAACCAGCCAACCAAAAGCAAAAGCAACAGCAACAGCAACATCAACAGCAACAGAACAGCAGCAGCAGCAGCAGCAACAGCAACAATGTTTAAACCATGCAGGAATCATAATTAATGTTTATTATTCTCATTCATCGGGCTGTTGTTTTTTTACTGGTGCTGGTCCTCCTGATTAGTTGGTCGGTTTTCCCCCCAAGGTTGTTTTTATGTTTAACTGTTTAGTGGTAGTTTTAAGTTTTAACTAAACCACTAAACAGCTAAACTTTTAGCAGGGGGATCTGAGAACAGCCCAGTTCTTCTTGAATCCGTTTCTGGTTTCTGGCACTCTGGTCACAAGGCTCCCAGCGCATTGCACCCCTGATGGTCATCACAGTCTCCTGGTGAACTTCGCTTGATCGGGGACACTAAACCGGAACCGGTGCCAAGCATCACCTCTCAGCATAGTTCAGATGAGTCACGTCCTCAAAACCCGGGCAAGTGAAGGTTAGTAAGGGACGATCCCAACCATCAATAGCTGCGGATATCCGCCTTCTTAGTTCTTAATGGTTCTGTACCGGGTTTTGATTCTGGCTCAGATGCTTTTTGGACGTTCAATTTGGTCAGCTCTGGCTGGCATCATTTCATCTGAGGATCCTTGGATTGGCGACAGCGATGAAGCTGTCCTCTTGTGTACAGCTTTTGCCACGAATGTCTTGATTATGTCTTTTGGGGTACTTGCTTGTGTCCGAAGATTGATTTGCCACGGCTTCATTTTAGCAAGACATCGGATCAGCTGCCTTCTGAAGCTGTTTCAGAAGCCAATCGTCTAGCATTGTGCGTATGTTCTAATGGCTCGGAGACCAGGATTGCTGCCCATTCCAGAAATTCGCTGCGCGTGACGTGGAATCGTTTCAGGTTCGATGGGCCCTGAATCTCGCTCTCCGAGATTTCCAACGTTGTGAGCAGAGTTTGTCATATTTCTGAGGAGTTGTTTGATATAGGCGCAAGGACCAGGTCCAGCGGCCTTGAATAGTCGGATCGGTCAAATGAGCCCGAGTCAATATCGGCCAAATGAGTGGGTCACACTCACCGAAATGCCATGGGAAAAGGGCATTGGACACAATCAATATTGATCCGGGCTCAATTGAAGCGACATAGCGGGATTATCAAGCAACTCTGATTAATCGCCTCATGTCAGCCGTTGTCTGGCTGAGAGCAGAGTCGTTGTTGACTCTGCCAGATACATTCCGGGAATCCGGGACTGAGAGGTTGGACGGATTCACCACGGCATCCTGCACTTGATAAAGTTATGTGCAGTAGTTGACTCCCTGCACAGAGCGACCCTGAATCGACTTGGGCTGTTTTGGTTTGAGAGACGAATCTGATGCTTCAGCTGCTGTCTCTAAAGTGCTGAAGCAACGGCATTCAACCTCGCCCAAGTCTAGCAGGGGAGTAGGGGAGGCAGGAATTCACCCTACAGAAATCCCAAGATTTCTAGCAGGTTTCAACATCAGCACGAGCTGGTGAATGTGTGCGGTGTGTTCTTGCCTTTGTCCTGTGGTGGTTGGGTCTCTGATTTTCCACTTGAAATCTGCTGTGACACTCGAGCGACGTAGAAGAGCCCCACTTGGTTCTATCCGATGCAACCGGCATCACACTGACCCACCTTATGCGAGCTTGAGGCTTCAAATTGGCCACTCAAGCTACACTTAGTTGCCAAATTGGCTTCAAACTTCTGAACCCCTTTTTCAGGGCTCCCTCAATTTCTTTTGACCTCATGGAACCCTCCAGTAAATTGATCAACCTAAAGGGAATTCCGGTGGATCTACTGGGTCATTATTTTGACGGTTTCAGGGGGTTATCAAAATCAGAAGCTGGTTGGTGGTTCTTTGTAGAGGGTGACTTTGATAGTGGTGAAGTTGTCGGGCCATAAAATCACGCCTACGACATTGCAAGGGGCCCAACCCGCTGACCATGATCAGCTCGCCGCCTCACCGATTTGTGTGGGTTAGACCCAATGCGGAGATCCTGGCTTTTGATCCATGGATTTTGGGAGCCCTTTGGTGCCAGGTTTTGATTGTCACCCAATTTGTTATTGTTAGGTTGAGATGTGACTACTCCCATGGGTGACCCAGATCTGCAAGTCAGGTCCAGTGTCAAATTATGCGTTCCCACCTTTGGTTGGCTTGAAAGATTTGATCGCGGGTTCGGCTTGAAAAGCAAGATCCGGAGCAAAGTGCCAACATTGGAAAGGCCGGAGTAGTCGAAGAGAAAGTTCTGCTTTAGTCCTCCACAAAGTGTGTCCTTGTGTTAGAATCCTTGATTGGATTGGCTCAATGGTTCAAGATGCTCAAGTACCGATCTGGGAAACTGCTTGCCAGCAGCTTGCTTAGGAGGAGTACGTATGCGTAATGTATCGCTGGAGGACGTGCAGGAGATTGTTTTTCAGGCTGCAGCAGTTAATAATATTTGCACATATCAACATCAGCACATCACTGAACGGCGCTTGGAAGGAAAAACATGATGAGCATGAAAGTGCATGCGGGCGAAGCGTGATGTCCGTGCTGTTGTGCCGCAAAGTAGATAGCAGAACGCTACCTGGTTTATGAAAATAACAATGGTTTTGTTTTTGTTTGATATATAGATATAGATTATAAGATTTACAATATTTGGAATAATAAATTATATATTCGGTTATTTATATAATGAAGGAATGGTATTTTGAGATAATATTTAGAATTAATAAAATTATAATGATATTTATTATATATCTATATATGTGGGAGTCGTTCTAAAGGTTTTTATTAGGAGTTTAGAATTCGGCGATTATTGGTGTTGGTTGAGGTAACTCCACGAAAGATTCACGATGGAATTACGAAATATATGTTTTTCTCGCGAAAATTTTGCATAATTATATTTTGTAAATTCATGATATGGGAAACTATTTATTTTTGTTATTGAGTTTTTTTTTTGTTTTTTTTTTTGATTAAAAACACTTTATTATTTTTGTGTTGATAAAAAGATAAAGCTAGGTGAGGTTACAATTTGATATTTTGTTTGGCTGATTAGTGTTTTAAACTTATATATATATACATTTATGGGTGTTTACTCGGTGGCTTTCCGTTCTGAAATATGGGTGATTTTTCGCGAAAATTCCGCGAAAGCCCGCGCGAAAGCATAGGTTTCGATTATAAAGGGAGATATTTGTTTGAGCGTCGCATTAGTTATTATATTAGCTTGGTACTGGAAATTTCGACTTTAAATTAGTGTTGTACGGCTTACGAAAAGTTGCGACTTTTTAGCCGGTTTACGTTATATATTACCCCTGTGATGAAAAATTGCGATATTATAATTGGAGTTGCGGAATCGTATTTCGCGCATTACGGTGATACTTAAAAGGTGTGGTTTTCTGACTTGAGTAATGAAAATGGCACGGCGATGAATCCGCGAAAGATTCACGAAAGTAATTTTTTTTATTCACGAAGAATGACCGTTTCGAAACAAAGGAATTTAGAACAATAACCATATATAGTTTAAGAAATAAATATCTATTTGAGTTTTGTTATATATATTGGGATTAAATTGTATTTAAATATAATTAAGATATAAATATATTTACTCTATAAAACGAAACCGTGAAACTTGCTCGTCGCACTTGCGCGCGTTTTCCCGGACTGCTTTTCCGGATATTTCGGAAAATTGGTCCGGACTGCCCCGGGAAGATGTAACCGCTTCATAATTCCTACGGATCGCTCGCCCAAATCTGTCCGGGCTACCCCGGGCATATGTGCGGAAGACATAGTGGCTTCATTTTTTGTGGGGACCAATTTCCCGAAATATGCTAGATATTTCGGGAAAACGGTCCGGGAATCGCAGCAATCCACAATTTGCTTAAAATATTCCGAATATTTTAAGAACCATTTTCCCGAAATATTCTAAATATTTCGGGAAATGCCATCGTCGAAATATCCGGAATATTTCGGAAAAATTGTCTGGAGTGTGACTATCGAAATATCCGGGATATTTCGGAAAAATGGTCCGGGCTTTGAACGAAGTCGTTGTGTCTTCTAGATCAAGAGTCTAGGCATATATCTCCCCATCCGTAGCCGTTGAACGAAGCCGTTGTGTCTTCCAGCTGAAGAGTCGGGGCATTTGTCTGCCTGTCCGTAGCAATTTTGGCTGAAATCTTGGCCCATCTTCCAAGAGTTTGGCGATGCGAGAAGCTGTGAGCCGCGGCCGATTGTTGCGACCAGTGGTGTTTTTCCCTTTGCTTCGGGCGAAATCAGTTCGGCTTTGCTTGCACCCAGGATGTTTTCTGGTCGATCGCGTTTTCGCCTGCGCTTGCAACAACAGCGTGTGTGGATGGATCTTTTGAGGCCAACAGCCCGCGGATCCGTTCTCACCTTGCTCAGGCGACCGCCTTTCACTGACTCTTTGGCGTGACCTTATCGCGACCAGCCCGGCCCTCAGTGCATGCCAGCCTGCCAAGCAATTGGTGTTCAAATACCAATCTTAGCATGAAGTCAGACAAGCGTCTCGCGACCTGTGTTTGGAGAACGGCAGCATGCTTTTCGCATGCGACGGGTATACATTTGTTGATACGTATGAGATGATAACATATGTTGGTGCCTGAGTTGCAAAAAATGTCTTGCCGGCGCGGGCTCTATAAGATCTTGGCCCCTGAGAGCTTGGCCCTTTTTTGGCACCCGCCTCAACTTACCCCTAATTGCTGGTTTGGATTCGTGGTTTGGGGATTGAACCCCTGGATTGTGTTGAAGCTGAATGGGAAACCACCCCCCAACCCCCAAAACACCGATCCAAACTACCAATCCAAACTGGGCCGGTAGCAACCCGGGGTGCCCAGTCCTGCAACCACCTCCTGGCCGCGGGAGCGGCGGGGCAGCGCCGAGACAAGCGCGTGACAAACCGTTTCCCACCGGCTCGCTCCACTGGGCGTGGGCACCAGGGGACAAGCGGCCAGCGGCCGCGTGCAACTGGGGCACGCGCAGCCGAGAGCTCGCGCGCGCGTTCTTGCAGCCCGTCTGCATCACGGCTCTCGGGCTCGGAGTCGGACGCGTGCACGTGCGCAGGCGAAGACTGTGGCATGTCGACATTAGAATCCGGCGCGCTGCGCGCCGGAGGTGTGTCTCTTTTTGTCTCTGTCTCTCTGTCGGTGTCTTTCTCTGTCTCTCTTTGTCTGTTGGTCTCTCTGTCTCTGGTATCTGTTTCTTTGTCTGTCTGTCTGTCTGTCTGTCTCTGTGTCTCCGTGTCTCTGTGTCTCTGTGTCTCTGTGTCTGCCTGTTTGTGTCTGTCTGTCTGTGTCTGTCTGTCTGTGTCTGTGTGTTTGTGTCTGTGTGTCTGTGTGTCTGTGTGTCTGTGTCTGTGTCTGTGTGTCTGTGTCTTTTTGTCTGTTTCTGTTTGTCTGTGTCTGTGTTTGTGCCTGTGTCTGTCTTTGTCTCTTTGTTTGTTTTTGTCTTCTTCTTTGTCTTTGTCTTTGTCTCTGTC